TGTTCACATGCAGCTCCGTGGCAAGCTGAAATGCCTCCAGAGAGATGTGCATGTCCTGACCCCTGGAACTGTACTGGGACCTTATTTGGAAGTAGAGATTTTGCAAATGCGATTAACTTAAGGATCGGGAGATGGGGAGATCTCTGAATTATCTGGGAGGGCCCTAAATGCAGCGACAAGTGTCGTTATAAGAGGGAGGCAGAAGGAAATTTGATACACTCAGACATAGCAGGAGGTCATGTGAAGATGGGGGCAGAGACTAGAATGACGCAGCCACAAGTCAAGGGACTCCTGGAGCCACCAGAAGCTCGAAGGGGCAGGAAGGACCCTCCCCTAGAGCCTTCAGAGGTAGCATGGCCCTGATGACACCTTGATTTTGGACTTGTGACCTCCGGAAGTATGAAAGAATCCATCTCTGTTTGGAGTCACATGCTTGTGGTCCTTTGTTATGGCTACCATAGGAAACTCATACCAGTCGGGACCTGGACCCAGAGAAGCTCCTGGCCGCAGAGCCCCACTCACGGCACACCTCACTTCGAGCCTCCCAGATGCTGGGCCTCGATAGATTCCACCCCAGAGATTCTAGAAAGCCAGGGATGAGTCTCCCAAAAGCTCGGGGCTGGCTACAAGGACGTGGTCCTTGGAGTGCAACTCCTCTTGCCAAGCCAGCTCCGGCCTCCAGGCGCTCCTACCCTGCCCTGGCAGCCTGTCTGCAGTGGGCACCAGGGCCTTTCAGTGGCTCGGCCATCCCAGGTGGTGGTGGCCTGCCCCACGTGTCCACAGTGGAGCCTGAAACTGGAGGCCAAAGCCCGAAGTCCACAGGGGAGGGGCCTGGAAACCACAGGGGCGGGGTGGGGGACCAGAGGTGGATGAACACCACCACCCAAGTTCTCAGAGCAGCACTTCCACTGGCCCTTCAGGCCCTTCGAGGAGGGGTTGTCCCTCTGAGGTGCCCTGCCCCCATCCCTGGCCATGGCCTGCGGACACCTGGCTGGCTGCCCCTCTGACAAGCCCCAGCTTGTCTAAAGCCAACCCGTGGATTCAGCTTAGGCTCCAGCTGGGCCCTGCCACATCTAGAAGGCACCTGACTGGCAATAAATGCTCGGAAATGTCCCCCACCCCAGCCCTGTGTCAATCAGGGTCCACTCCTTGGCGGCCTCTCCTTTCACGGGACTGCTCTCCCCAAGTGAGCTGTTCCCATGACTTTCATTGCCCTGTGTGTGCATGCGCATGCACATGTGTTCCGGCCCCAGCTTGCCCTCTGGCTCAGACCCCTCCTCTGAGCTGCATGCACACGCTCACAACTCTTGGGGTGCTCCCAGCCCTCAAGAAGTATTCCTCCAGGGGCCTCAGACCACGGGGGGAACCACGCCCCCACCCTGCCCACTCCCTTCCTCTGACCTCACGAACAATGTGTCTCCACAGATCCCTGTGCTGACTGCCCCTCCTCAACCCAAGATTGAGCTGGAACCTGGCTCCTCTCCCACATTTCCCGCACTGTCTAACTGGACCCTCTCCCCAAGTCCACCCATCCACCTGCAGCTCAATGTGCCCATCTCAGCCCTCTGCAGCTTTGCCACCCTGGGGCTTCCTGTGAGTGAAGCTGGGTCCTGAGCTCTGTGAGGAGGACGCTCTGCATGGCACAAAGTGTACGTGAAACTGTACGTGGGAACTGTCGGCTGACGGGAGTAATCTTGATGTCGCTGTGGGAATTTTTTAAAGCCTAATCAGTCTCAACATTTTATTCATATTCTCCTTCTTCTTCCTATTATTATTAATCATTTACTCCACCAGTTCCCAACCTTTTAGCATCAGGGACCGGGGCTCCTATGAGAATCTAATGCCTGATGAACTGAGGTGGAGCTGAGGAGGGGAGGCTGACCTGCTGCTTATCTCCTGCTGTGTGGTCCGGTTCTTAACAGGCCACGGATCGGTACTGGTCCATGGGCTGGGGATTAGGGACCCTTGATCTAATAGTTGGCAACATACTTGATAGCAGAATGAAGCTAAGTAATTAGTCTTTGACCAACTGCTCTGGGTGTGGAGGCCTCCCTTCCAACCATGACCCACAAGCCCTTCTGAGTGTGCCCTGTTCACCTCCCTGGACTCTTGCCTCAGGGCCCAAGGAGCCCCTGGGTGCCTCACAGCCTCTACTCTGGGCAGAGTGTTGGACCCACCTGCAGGGCACTGGCCCCTACTGTGAGGGGTGACCCACCAGGCCTACAGGACATTCCCTGGAGCCCAGCTCTTTGCTTATGAACATGATTACGCTTGTCCTGCTAGCTCGTCGTAACACCTGCATCCCTAGCGAGAGGGAGGCACAGAGGAAAGGAATGGCAGGAAGCCTGGGGGGGGCCGAA